TAGATATTTCCATTATTCTGCTCAATGATGAAATATACTACATCTACATTTTTTTTATTATTTCAGGCAGTTTCGATCGGCTGTATCGTCTTAGAGTACTGCGTCTTTCTGGAAACAACCTTACAGCAGTGAGAAGGCACTGGTTTCCTGCTGCAGAGGAAAGAAGACTACTCGGTACCTTAGACCTGGCTAGAAATCGTATTCGGTACATAGAACCAGGGGCATTTATACAGCTAGATCTCTTAGAGACTCTCGATCTTTCGGACAATCAAATCACAAGTATACAGGAACTCGACTTCCAACTTAGTGACTTCGGCGTTAGCTTGTGGGAGGTCTCCAGGCTTGCTGTTGGTGGAAACTTTTTCCGCTGCACATGCTCTCTCCGTTGGTTATTTGAATCTGGTAAATTCTTAGATTCTTTGGCTTTTCATTCGTTAGGGTTTATGCCATTGGCTTGTTTCTATCCAGAAGGTCTCAAGGGCAGGGCGTTAAGTGACCTACCAAGAGACATGATTGTGTCCTTGCAGTGCCCAACTCCAAAAATCACAATAACTGAGAAAGATGAAGGTCGAACCTTTACGTGTGAGATATACTGGGAAGAGAGACCTCCAGACATAAATTGGACGTTTCCTAATAACCTGACCCTTCTGATCACAAACGTGTCATTTGAAATGAAGACGCGTGTCAGCCTTGGAGACGCCCACACCTCGACGTCCTTCTCACTGAATATTCACGGTTTCAGGTGCCGCAAACCGCAAACATCTGTTGGCAACCATTCCGCACAGTCGGGCGGTGACTGTAACTTTCGAGGAAAGACCATTTCTACGTTGAAAGTCAGCGAAATCCTCGCGCAACAATGGTACAATAAAACGGTTTCATGTACAGCGCTGTTTGGGTTAGGCGGTGTGAACATTACAGCCCATTATACCATTTCTGAACTAAAGAGTTGGGCGTCTTTTAGCACTGTTCATACCAACAGCGTCGCTACGTTCTCTGCTTTAACAACCTCGGTAACAGAAAATGACAACAGCAGCCAGCAAATAGTTTTCATACTAAATTCAAACCAGGACGTTACTCCTTCTATTAATCTAGGGGATCTGTTCATCACCTTCTTTTTCACACTATCAGTCCTCGCATTATCCTGTTTTGTAGTTCAGGCACTACTGGCCATACTGGCCGGTAAGCAAGAGAGGAACACGAGAAATCAGGGAAACATTGACCCGTTCTTTCACCATACGTATGAGACAGTGGAGGATCAGCCTCACCTGTATGAAACCATACCGGACAGGCAGAAGGATGATGATGACGTCACACCGTATGGTCACGCCGCCATGGCAGGTGCCTACGGTTTAGGCTCAGCCAAAACCACAACAACTAGCTATGGTAAAAAGAAGGAAAGTGTGTAAACAAATTCTTAAGCACTAGAAAATGCACATAGACGAAAAGACGAAAGTGGTTTATAACCCCGTCATTAAGGTAATTCGGTAACAAAAGAAAATACTTGTAATAACATTAAGTTCTGTAACCTTTATCAGTACAAAAAATTACATTTAACCTTTGCCTTCTGTATTTCGCATATCACATCGACTGTAATCTTTAATTCTAGTACCAATGGTGACGTTTTCTTTCTTTCTTTGTTATGCTTTGTCGTTTTGATTACATGTATATATAATAAGTTTTGTTTGATTTTGTGGAAAAAAAGCTCTTGTAGACGTTCATGACTTTTGGTGATAGAAATGTACTCGGATAAAGTGCTCAAATTAAGTTTACGTATTAGAACAACTCGGATACATTTTGTTTTTCTTGGATAGAACAATGAATAATTGCTCCTGCAATCATTGTTGAATTTATGTATCTAGGCCAGGTTGCGAAATATTTTGTAAAAGATCTGTACATAAACAGATAAATGAATAGATAGATGTAACTAGAATTCCGAGAGTTCATACCTCCATGAAATATGATCTTGATATGTAAATGTAAATTTCTTCTTTAATTGTTCAAATGACCTCTGCATTAACATGATATATGAATCGTGATGTATGTTAACTTTTGATTAACTTACAGATGTCCCAAGTATGACATTCTCATCATTCACCATTACGAAATCATAGAATTTTCACATTAATTATGCAAATTAGGTCATCATTTGCATAATTAGTATCTGTTGAAGTTCCGCCTGCCATAGGTTACATAGTATAATGTAAAACACTGTAATTATAGAATTTCCTCATTAATTATGCAAATAAAGTCCTCATTTGCATAATTTACATTTAATTATGTACATCTCTCTCTCAGCTACCTACACACCAAAAATAATGAAAGTATGTTGTTCCTGTCTGGACTTATTGGCTTTTAAACATTTCGCCAGAAAGTGCCCTGCAGTTCCAGAACAAGCCGCTAGGGGGCCCAAACTCATATGACTTCTTTCCAAGCACGAGAGCTACCTTCCATCAAAATTTCATGACCCTAGCATGTCCAGATCGCGAGATAATGTAAAACACTGTAATTATAGAATTTCCTCATTAATTATGCAAATACAGTCCTCATTTGCATAATTTAGTTGGGACCCTAGCATGTCCAGATCGCGAGATATCAAAACCGGAAGTTGCGCTGCAGTACCAAGGGAAGCCACTAGGGGGACCAAAATCTCATCATTTCCAGTTTTCGTCACACCCTACCAACACACCAAGTATGAAACCCATCCATTAGGCGTTCTTGAGTTATCTTGTTGACCAACAGACAGACGGACGGACGGACGGACGGACAGATAAACGCAACTGAAAATATAACCTTCATGACACATTTCATGGAGGTAATAACAAACAAAAAACAAGTGTCTGCCACGCAGGTCACATGCCGATACACGTTACTGCTGCATCTATCTATGTAGTAGTATTTAGGCCAGGTAACTTTTCCTCTAAAAGGGACATATACTGAAACTTATTAATATGCAAATGTCCAGATTAATAAAAACGTGGATGTTTATGAGTATGTCATGATGAATCTACAGGTCAGGTGAAAAAATCCATGTATACTATTAAAAATTTAAACTTTGTACTATCACGGATGGGATTATCGTAAACAAGAATTTGCGTCCTCTTATATTTTGAGAGGTTTTCAAAACAAAGAGATCGACGTGTCACTGCTATGAAGCAGGAAGCAGAAAGGAACAACATGTGGGTGTATCAATCCATATGAAACCGCAATTTCCTGACCTAGTTGCATCCATTCATTCATATCCATGCATATTCAATCCGGGAGAGCAGCATTAAACGACACATAGAGTTGACAAACCCCCACGATATGGCATCGTTTGTTTGCTTAATAAGCTTCTTGCCTTTTTGGCTGCACTGAGAACGTGTTATGTGACACAGGCACCTGCACAAACTGCCAAGCTGTTTACGCTAACGTATAACTGTCGTCCGGACAGTAGTCATCTAATGCCGTTAGGAGCGCCATGTGCGACAAATAAATGAATACTAGATAGACGTAATAACAAAAAAAATTAGTGTTTACCACGAGGGTCACATGCCGATACACGTTATGTTTGCATCTATCTATGTAGTAGTATTTAGGCCAGGTAACTTTTCCTCTAAAAGGACCAGATTAATAGAAATATGGACGTCACAAAGTGTTTTTGAGTATGTCCTGATAAATCTATAGGTCAGGTGAAAAACTTCATTTATACTACTAGTATTATTAAAAATTTGAGGGAAACTTTGTGAATTATCGTAAACGAACGAGAATTGGCGTCTACATGATATATATTTTGACAGGTTTGCAATACAAAGAGGTGTCTCATTGTTATGAAACAGGAAGGCCGGATCAATATGTGGGTGTATTAATCCATATTGAACCGCAAGGGAGCCGGAGATTTTGGTTAAAACAGAATCGTCTGACTTAGTTGCATCCATTAATTCATGGATAACCATGCATATTCAATCCGCGAGAGCAACATTAGTAAGAAACATATTTCTTGCAACACAGAGTTGACAAACCCACAAGGTATGGCGCTGCTCGTCCTGCTTAAGCTTCTCGCCTTTTTGTCTGCAATGAGAAACGTTTCTTGTGACACAGGCACCTGCCCAAACTGCCAAGCTGTTTACACTAAATGTCGCCCTGACAGTAGTCAGCCAGCGTTGTTAGGAGCGCCATGTGCCATTTGTGATGCCGTGGTAAACTCGGAGCACAGGGAAGCCATACCTTCATGCGAGCCTGTCCAAACCACCCGGTCGCTGTGGCTTCGCAACTATAGTCTTGACCACCTGTCTTCGACAGACGTGAGCCACCTCAAACATTTACGGTTTCTCTACATAGAACCAGGTAAGGAATTGATTTATTAAACTGTATAAACAAATATACAGCCATGTTTGCCCAACTAGCCGGAGACTATTATAAAGGGCTAGTCCTCATATGCAATGTAACAACCTCGCTACTTAATAATGTTACTTCTTGTCTGTTTAAGGATATTTTTTCCAGTTCAATTTTCGTGAAGGATATTGTGATATTGGAAAAAATAAATATCATTGATAGTCTTGCGATACGCGAAATCTTTATGTGGTTGCAAAGTAACTTGGATGGAACCAGGGGTAACAAATTCTGTATGTCTAGGCCATCCAAAATTTAGATACGAGTAACATTTCAAAATTGCAATAAAAGCTGAATCAGTGGAAACAAACCTTTTATAATTGCCTTAACATGCACTTTTATTTTTACATATTTCCGTTTTAGGAGACATTCAACATATCGACAACAACACATTTGACGGCTTCCCTCGCTTGTACAACCTGTCACTGAGCCATAACAAACTTACGTATCTAGGGGAGCAGTGGCTTCCTGAAGTATCCGGCCATTTGAATCTAGCTCATAACGAGATAGCATTCATAGAAGACGGGGCGTTTGGTACCTATCATCACTGCATCGAGACCAAAGCTTTAAACCTACCGTGGAACCGTCTAGACGTCATTAAGCCAGGCTACTTCAGACATCTTTGTAACGTAATGCTCTTGGATCTACGCTACAACAGAATACAGGCCATCGACGAAGGTACTGTACGTCCAAATTTTGCTCGTGTAATGCTTTTAGATATATGGCTAGTACAATATTTTTGTGTTTTTCTCTTTCTTAAAGGGTTAGGTTAGATTTACACTAAGATCTTTTAACTTCTTAAAAACTTGCAATAACTTGCAATGTTACTCTTCCTACAAACTAGGTGTGTCTATCTCTATTTGCTATATCATATCATCAACATTAACCTCAATCAATGATGTATTTATAGGCTTATTGTTGAGTTAACATTGGGGTAAGCATTCTGATTCGAAGGTAGTAACCTCAAGGCTTGTAAATATGGATACATGGCGGGCATTCAAGTATGCCAAGGCCATTTGAATGTACATCTCATATTTCTGTCAATATGTGAATATTCAATAGGTGTCCAATTTGTGTACCTTTCCAGGCAGTTTTAATGACCTGCACCGCCTGCGAGTACTACATCTTTCTGGTAACAAACTTAAGGTGGTAAGAAGATCTTGGTTTCCTGCCTTAGAGAGACAAAGACTGCTCGGTTCTTTAGACCTGGCCAAAAATCAAATTCAGTTCATCGAATCAGAGGCCTTTATTCATGTTCAGCTCTTAGAGACCCTTGATCTTTCGGATAATCAGATCACAAGTCTGCAAGAAAATCATTTACAAATTGGTGACTGGGGCTTAAATATTTGGAATAACATCGAACTTAAACTGGAAGGAAATTACCTCCGCTGCACATGCTCTCTTCGTTGGTTCATTAAATTATATCAAAATTTAGATAAAGAGTTTTCTGATTCTGAGCTACTAACGTGTAGCTATCCGAAGTACCTACGAGGAGTACATTTGAGTGGATTTTCGAATGCCTTGATAGCATCATTACAGTGTCCAACACCAAAAGGTATTGTAAGAACAATAGGTGACAGGCGGACCTTTCGGTGTGAAATATATTGGGAAGAGGGGCCTCCTCAAATCCAGTGGACTCTGCCAAATAATACAAGCCTTCTCATCACGAGTGTATCATTTCAAGAAGAGAGAATCGTGTACTTTGGGGATTTAAACTTCACAACATCTTTCTACCTGAACCCAGAAGGCTTTACGTGCTGCAACTTTACTGCATTAAATGATTCCCGGCTGAAGAACAATACCTTTAACTTCGTGGGAAAGACAGTATCATCCCTGACGGTCAGTCCAATCGTACTGCAAACATGGAACGGTGAGCTAGTTTCCTGCTCATCACTGTTTGGTAACATCACAGCTCATTTCAACGTGACTGTTTTTTCTCCTTCCTTGAACACTGGTCCTAACGTCATTTCCACCATATCCTCTACCACTAACTCACAGAAAGAAACTCAACGTACAAACAACAACTCGATAATCCACATACTAGACGCAGAGGTAAACACAAATGTTACAATTAATTATTGGGATCTGGTCATAGCAACACTTCTATCATCGTCAGTAGTTGCCTTGTCTTGTTTCCTCATTGCGGCCCTGAGAAAAGGAAAATTCAAGCTGTGGAGAGTGAACCCGGACAGCTGTGACGTACAGGATCAGCAGAACCCTGACCCTTTCTCCCAACACACGTACGAGACGGTGCGAGACGAAGACCAGTACGAAGTCGTACCGGACAGTCAGGTTGAAGCGGATGATGCCATTACACCATACGGACAATCTGCCATTGCAGGTGCCTACAGAATGGATACGCCCATGGCCGCAACGGCTAGAACGTCCCATGTAACTAAGCATAGAAGAGTAGATACGCCTTGTGTCATGCGAAAGAGATCACAAGGGCGTGTGCCAAGGGATGATAAAGGTGCCGACGTCGCTGAGTCAAGCTACAACTTAGAAGCTTCTAGACGTGCCAACGTGGGTGTAGGGACTCGTGGGGTACAAGATCAAGAGGGTACAAGCAAGGCATACAGTAACGCTGAAATACATGATGTCCAGGTCAACAACGGTCGCAGTGATAGAGACTTGACAAACGCAAATGACTCATATCAGACTTCTATCACTGCAGAGGATGACGTAGACCTTTTCAGAGAGAGTGCGCGAACAACATGGCTTTAGAAGAATATTTTGAAGACAATGAAAATAATTGATTAGTCCATGAAAGGAAAATAGAACTCTGTAGAATGAAGGAAAGCGATACGACACCTTTCATGGTGCACAGCCATTCTGGAATGGCATTCAATGTACTTCTAATTAGATTACAGGCTTTATAACAAGAGAAAAAAATATTTCACAATGATGTTCCACAATAGATTGTATGCTTTACTGATAAGATGAAGGCAGTTGTCAGCAAAATTACATTATATATTTTGTTGCCTGTATATCATTGTTTTCTTGTTATTTGGTTCTTATTGCTCTTGAACGTAAAATGATAAAAAGTCAACAATACCTAACTTTGTGATCCTGTAAGATATAGACTTCTTGTTAGTTCCTCTCTTTCCTTCATATTCTAGGTATAGTTAGGATCCTCTACACTGTATTTTATTATCATACATCATCACAATCCTAGGAAAACATAGCCGTCTTGTTAGTTAACGTTCCTCTCTCTCCTTGATATTCTAGGCAAATTAGGGATCGTCTACACTTTATTTCATTTTAATATTATACATTATCACAGTCTAAGTACGTCACACAACCTCAAACTTATGTCAACACAGAACCATGCCACTACAACACGACCTACTTTCTGGGGGGGGGGGGTAAGGACGTAATTCAAAAACACAGGAACTGGTTTCATGCTCACTTTATCACGTTTTCGTCTCATGTCACTTATGTAAACACAGAACCATGCCACTAAACACGACCTACTTTCGAGGGGGGGGGCGGGGTAAAGCGTAATTCAAAAACAAAGAAACTGGTTCCATGCTCACGTTTTCATCTCAGCGCCTGCATGATTTCAGCGCAAACCAGTTTCTAGACAAGGTCTAGCCCTCTGGTAGTGTGAAATTGCCAGGGTCTAGCCCTCTGGTAGTTTATGAGTATATCAGGATGAATCTATAGGTCAGGTACAAAAATACACACTATTAAAATATTGAGGGAACTTTGTACGATCACGGATGGAATTATCGTTAACGAGAATTTGCGTCCACATATATTTTGACAGGTTTGAATACAGTGAGGCGTGTCATTGTTATGAAACAGGAATTAAAGGCTGTATCCACATGCATCAACACGTGGCTGAATCAAACCGAAAGGGAGATCCAGTTAAACAGAATCGTCTGACCTAGTTGCATCTATTTATAATATGCATATTCAATACGGGAGAGCAACACTAAAGGACTTATCTTGCAATAGAGTTGACAAACCCACACGGTATGGCGCTGTTCGTCTTGCTTAAGCTTCTCGCCTTTTTGTCTGCAATGACAAACGTGTCTTGTGACACAGGCACTTGCCCAAACTGCCAAGCTGTTTACGCTAATTGTTGTCCGGACAGTAGTCAGCCAGCGTTGTTAGGAGCGCCTTGTGCCATTTGTGATGCTGCGCTGAATTCGGAGTACACGGACGCCATACCGTCCTGTAAGCTTGTTCAAACCACCCGGTCGCTGTGGCTTCGCAACTATAGTCTTGACCACCTGTCTTCGACAGACGTGAGCCACCTCAAACATTTACGGTTTCTCCACATAGAACCAGGTAAGGAATGCTATTCGTATCACCAGTGAGGCAATGTAACAACTTCACTACTTAATAATCTTTTCAGGATAATTAGTTTTTTCAGTTCAAAATCTTATGTCCCACATTTCGTGAAGGATATTGCAATTGTCATATTGAAAAAAATATATAAAAAAAATATCGTTTCGTAGTCCGTTTTATAATGAACAAAAGTCTTAATTTGAACGTAAACTAACTAATGTCACTAAAACGAGATTTGTATTTTGTAAAAGAAACGCCTGAGCCGTCCAAGATTTAGATTTGATTAGCATTTCAAATTTTCAATAAGAGCTGGATAAGTAGAAGCAAACCTTTTTATCATTGTCGTAACATACCATTCATTACGTTTTAGGAGACATTCAACATCTTGACAACAACACATTTGACGGCTTCACCAACTTGTACAACCTGTCACTGAGCCATAACAAACTTACGTATCTAGGGAAGCAGTGGCTTCCTGAAGTATCCGGCCATTTGAATCTAGCTCATAATGAAATAGCGTTCATAGAAGACGGAGCGTTTGGTGCCTATGATCACTGCATCGAGACCAAAGCTCTAAACCTACCGTGGAACCGTCTAGACGTCATTAGGCCAGGCTACTTCAGACATCTTTGTAACGTAATGCTCCTGGATCTACGCCGCAACAGAATACAAACCATCGATAAAGGTACGCCCAAAGTTTTTTAGTGTTCTGCTTTAGACATTTGCCTGCCTAATATGATCTGTTTGTGCTTGTCGACCGTCCGTCTACTTCCTAAATGGTTAGGTTAGGTTCACGCTAAGACCTTTTAACTTCTTAAAATCGTGCATACTAACAATGTGTGTCTCTGCGATATAAATGAAACTCTATTGATGACCCATTTACAAACTTATTGTTGATATTGGGGTAAGCATTCTAATCCGAAGGTAGCAGTCACGGTGCTCATTTAAGTATGACATGGCAATTAGAATTTATATCTCTTTCAATATATGAATATTCAATATTTACATTTACAGGCAGTTTTAATGACCTGCACCGCCTGCGAGTACTACATCTTTCTGGTAACAAACTTAAGGTGGTAAGAAGATCTTGGTTTCCTGCCTTAGAGAGAGAAAGACTACTCGGTTCTTTAGACCTGGCAAAAAATCAAATTCAGTTCATCGAATCAGAGGCCTTTATTCATCTTCAGCTCTTAGAGACCCTTGATCTTTCGGATAATCAGATCACAAGTCTGCAAGAAAATCATTTACAAATTGGTGAATGGGACTGGAATATTTGGGATAACATCGAACTTAAATTGGAAGGAAACTACTTGCGCTGCACATGCTCTCTTCGTTGGTTCATTAAATTATATCAAAATTTAAATAATGAGTTTTATGATTCTGAGCTACTAAAGTGTAGCTACCCGAAGGGCCTACGAGGAGTACATTTGAGTGGATTTTCGAATGCCGTGATAGCATCATTACAGTGTCCAACACCAAAAGGTATCATAAGAACAATAGGTGACAGGCGGACTTTTCGGTGCGAAATGTACTGGGAAGAACGACCTCCTAAAATCCAATGGATGCTGCCGAATGATACAAGCCTTCTCATCACGAATGTATCATTTGAGCAAGAAAGAAGTGTGTACCTTGGTGACTTAAACTTTACCACATCTTTCTACATGAACCCAGAAGGCTTTACATGCTGCAACTCTACACCATTTAATCATTCCAAACTACAGAACAATACCTATAACTTCGTGGGAAAGACAATATCTTCTCTGACGGTCAGTCCAATCGTACTGCAAGCATGGAACGATGAGCTTGTTTCCTGCTCATCGCTGTTCGGCTCAGGTGAAACAAACATCACAGCTCATTTCAACGTGACTGTTTTTCCTCCCTCGTTAAATGCTGGTCCTACCATATCCTCTACTACACACTCAAAGACAGAAACTCGACGTACAAACAACAATCAGTTAATCCACATACTAGACTCAGAGGTAAACGGAAATGTTGCAATTAACTATTGGGATCTGGTCATAACCACCCTTCTAACATCATCAGTAGTTGCCTTGTCTTGTTTTCTCATTCTTGCCCTACGAAAAGGAAAATTCAAGCTGTGGAGAGTTAACCCGGATAACCGTGACGTACAGGATCAGCAGAACCCTGACCCTTTCTCCCAACACACGTACGAGACGGTACGAGACGAAGACCAGTACGAAGTCATACCGGACAGTCAGGTTGAAGCGGATGATGTCATCACACCATACGGACAATCTACCATTGCAGGTGCCTACAGAATGGATACGCCCATGGCAGCAACAGCTAATACTTCCCATGTACCTAAGCATAGAAGAGTCGATGCGTCTTATGTCAAACGAAAGAGATCACAAGGGCAAGTGCCAAGGGATGATAAAGCTGCCGACGTCGCTGAGTCAAGCTACAAGTTAGAAGCTTCTAGACGTGGCAATGTGGGTGTAGGGACTCGTGGGGTACAAGAGGGTACATGTAAGGCTCACAGTAAAGCTGCCCAGGTCAACAACGGTCGCGGTGATAGAGACTTAACAAAAGCAAATGACTTAAAGCAAACATATGATACTGCAACAGATAATGCCGGCCATTTTAGAGAGAGTGAGCGAACAACATGGCTTTAGAAAACACAGCTTTCTCGTTAGCTCCTCTTTTGCCTATATTCGGGATCGCCTATACTTTATTTTATGATTCATATCATTATTTATCATTATTATACATCATCACAATCCAACTATGGCACACAATTCAACACAGAACCATGCCACTGAAAAAACAACCTACTTCAGGAGGTAAAGCTTCATTCAAAAACACAGGAACTGGTTCCATGTTCACTTTATCACGTTTTCATCTCAGCGCCTGCATGATTTCAGCGCAAACCAGTTTCTGACACGAGGTAACCCATGTACGGGCGTCATGTCACGCCTTTCAGAGACAAGGTCTAGCCTTAAGCTTCATGTGAAAAATGCCAGGGTCTAGCCCTCTGGTACGTCGGTGAAGGTTAGACATCCAGGTAATAAGATACGCCAAACAACAGTTACTCAAGCAACTGGATATGACTTTTTTGATCGTAGCCCTCTGGCAGGGCCTAGCCCTCTAGTTGTTGCGGAAATTGCCGCGTCTAGCCCTCCGGTAGTTTTGGAAATTGACAGGGTCTAGCCCTCTGGTAGTTGTGGAAGTTGACAGGGTCTAGCCCTCTGGTAGTTGTGACAAATGCCAGGGTTTGGCCCTAGCCCTCTGGTAGTTGGGGGAATAGCCAAGGTTTCGAAATTGCCAGAGTCTAGCCCTCTAGTGTTTTTAGAAATTGCCAGGGTCTAGCCCTCTGGTAGTTTTGGATTTTGACAGGGTCTATCCCTCTGGTAGTTGCGGAAAATTACAGGGTCTAGCCCCATAAGCCTTCTGGCAGTGGCAGAGAAATGCACATGTTGCAGGCTACAGATGATTGTATTAATTTATGCAAACACTGACGTCTGAAACCTTAGTTCTCAACTAGTACAGGAAAGAAAATGCAATTTAAAAGTTCAATCCCTTTCAGGTACCCTTTCCCATATTCTCCTTACGTACGCAATTACTGCTTAACAATACTGTATTGACACCGTGCAGCACTTTGTCTGGGGTATTCTTAACAATCCAAGAGCGTTGTATTTGCATCCGTATGTATAACAGATTTTCTAATATACACATGTACACACTTCTAATTTTACATCAATGTACCGTGACAGAATTTTATGGACCGTGTCGCGTAAAACAAATTAGACCAGGTGGCACATAATAGGCAGATTCCATCCTGAAAATTAAACATTGTGGAGATGCACCGTGTAACGTTATGTATATATTTCACATAATCGACAACCGAATGAACAGAGCTATATGTCATTATGTGTTGGGCTCTATATTTGTCCCACCGTTTGTCATACGGTAGCTATCTTCTAGACACGTGAAGACACCGTCTGTGGCACGAGTACAGTACACGCTGTTTGCATTTATGAAATTGTGTCAGTAAAATTGTCTGGCCATTTGAGAAAACCTTGGCATTCTTCCTCGGTTACATCATGGAGCTCGAATTTGAATGGTTACATAAAACAAAATAATACTCACTTGCGGACAGATATCTGTAAAAAAATACCCAACAAATGACATTTGTATTCATTAATTGTATCCTATCAAAATCCATAGAATGCCCTTTGTTTAGTTTAGCTACTTGAGTAAGTCATTATACTAGTAACTCAAGGTACACTTACTACTAATATAGTAATGAAATTTAGTGATATTTTACCTTTTTTTCAGAAAAAAAATGTACACAAAGGTAAAGCGTCTGTCTTCATCCTTACTTAATTTCACACTGTAACAAGGTATCACTTTTTACAAGATGATATTTAGACAAGCGTTCCCACGCGCGTGCGTGTACGGTAAGCTGACGTACTCTGACACGATTGGGGTCATTGAACCACCGTTGCCTATGGCAACGGCGTCACGATCCAAAATGGCGGACGTAGCTGAAAACCCGCCTGCTTTGGATGCCAATCTCGACCAAGAACAATTATATTTCAACGATTCCTGTCACATTGATACTCCGGTGACAGGAAAAACGATATTTTCCGGCTCATCCAAAGAAGATGTGGAGTATGCGAAGGTCTTCTGGAAGTCGATAACTCTACAACCACCGATGGAATCTCGGCTTGTTTCCGGGGACACACGACAGCGCCTGAAAGTTGCCAGCGCTTCGTTCCAGCGTACGTCTCAACAATTCTAAATACTATTATAATTTCTTCATGTCATTTTATATCACTGGAACATTCGAAATGGAAAAAGTACAGGTTCAATTATCAATAACGTATTACAGTTACGCAGAAAAGTATTCGTATATATCGAGCCCCCCTCCTTATGGCTAATAATCAAGGACAGTATTTATGTAACGTTACCTGTAAGAGACCTTGATTTAGTATGATCTTTTTATGTTCTTTTTTTTTCAGCCAAAAACTTTGCCCATGAGCCAGTACCAGACTCACCTCGTAAGTAATGTTTTCATTTGATAATTTATTGTCCCATGCTAACCCAAATGATACATAATATTGGCAACTTGTAAATGTAAGGTGTCATCATCAGAGAAGAACAGTCAACATGTCACTTACTCAGGCTTCGGGAGTCCGGTGTCTTCCAACACATGTGGCAGTTAGATTGGCCCAGAAAAATCGCGGGCGGTTGAGCCATTTCACCCTTCCAGTTCAGTTGACTTGGAGGTCCCCCCTCTCAATTGTCTCCCTGTTGCTGTAGTTCATTTTGGGTTCACCTTGGCCCCTTTCTATATGGACTCTGGTGTATGACTTGACTTGCCAGTCTGTTGCCAGTCTTTAAACAACATGGCAGCTCATATGTAATTTGCATATCATTGCAGTTGAAAACATGTCTGGTGTCACAGTCAGGAATGCACATGAGGTCAAAGCAGCTGAAGAGATTTACATATTATTAAGAGTTTCAGAAACTTTTTCAAATGTTGAATTTTGATTCTTGCTGATTTCAAGGCTAATACCAGCTTTTCTGTGTTTTTAGGGTTAACTCGGTTTTTAGAGGAGGCACACAGACAGGAACATGCAGAGGAAACAGAGAAACGGAGACAGCTGGTAAGTATTCACGTTCTATCTGCTACCATGTACCAAATTCGCATAGCAGAAAGCAGCAGTAAGAGGCTTAGATCTGAAATAGAATGACAGAAATGATTAGTATGCTGTCACTTTTTGTGCTTCTGAAGAGTCAAACCAACAGATTATTTGTGTGGGTATTCATATTGTAATAATTAAGCCACCTGACCTATACACACTCAAAACAACATGCAACCTGGCAACTTGCAGGTTTACCTATCTTACCATCAAGTACTTTCAGTAGTTGTATTGATACTTACACTAAACATGTACATTATTACTGTACTAGTGTAATATACCTGTACAGCATGTTTTTGTTACATGTACTATGATGTAGGCTCTGTGCATGGTCAGTACACCTCTCATGACTGCCCCCTACTGACTTATCTACAAAGTGTAGGCACATGCCAAGTACTAGTATCCCTGTAGATACTTGACATGTAACGTTACCTGTTAGTAGTGTACTGTCTTGGCCCACTGACAGATGCAGAAATACGTTGTCTATCTTAGAGATCACAAATATGTTAAGTGCACTCTTTTCACGCCATTCTTCAATATTTTCCAGAATATGAAGAAGGAACAGCAGCAGTTACTTCTTCAGAAACAGAGGGAAGAAAGAATGCAGGTAAGACAGAAGTTGATTACAGTATGAATCTTAAAGTAAGTTACATGTAACTTATGTTTTTCTGTTTTTGTGCTTCTACATTGAATGATATAAATGATATACTTATACATGTAGATACTTTTTAATATAAATTTTTGTTCCCTCACTCACAGAGAGAAGAAATATTGAGAGGTCACAAACCAAGGCAGAGAACAGAGCTCATACAACTGTGAGTACACACTTGTACGTTATTATTTCGACATGAAAAAAATACACTGAGGATCTGACCTTAGTGCAATAATTGTTCACCTATATCAGTTTCAAATGTGCACTATTAGGGCAATTGTTCCATTCTTTAGAGAGACCCCTGTACCTGGTACTATATGTGTAGAATGTAGTTTGCCATTTTTCCTGCTTGTCAAGGATGCTGGGCAAAATCTATGGTAAGACATTTTAAGTTATGCTGTAAAAATCTTTACTCGTATGAGAAAGTAGAGAAATAATACTTTTCATTGTCCACAGACCTACCAGTAGTGATGAGGAACAAGAAGAGGACCCCATGTTGGAACTGGAGAAATTTGAACAGTCAAAAGGCCTCCAGGACATTGATTCTGACTAATATGTATTGGAAACATTTTGAATTTTTAGGCATTAGAGTGATTTTTTTGCTTTGTGCTTAAAACTAGGGTAGGTCCATTTGTATGCCTGTTTATCTGTTGCTATGCAGCTTCTATTGTGAATTCATTACACTTTTTAGCTGATTAGATTGTACAAAATATTTGGTCATACAATTCTATTTATTTTGGAACAAATTAGCTACAAATGTGTTGTAGCAATTTGCATTACTAGAGTTTATTACTGTTATAATTTGATTGTAATTACATCAATAGTTCCAGTAGCATTCATGACTCCCTATCCAATGAGTGTTATTATCAACATCATAATGTTGGTTAGGTACAACCGTTAGGTTGCTACATTTGAATGATAACACTAAGGCTTGTTCAATTGTAGAGAAACAGTTTTTTTTTTATTGTCACAGCATTTTTAAAATTGATGGATACAATTCAATATAATCTTTTCTTACATTTTCTGAAATATATTATCAATTGTGGCAACCAATGTGAAAGACCATTTTGTCCCTTTTGCACTTTGAACTGACTGCAACATTAATTTGTGTCTTCAAATACTGGTCACATACATGTACAATATCATGACAGTTTAATACATTTTAACATCAATATAGAGCATCAGCTATAAGTCACAAAATTCTCACTGTCAAACCATTCAATGGTATACAAGACATTCTTAATACATGTAGTTCATTTTTAAATCTCATGTAATGAGTTATTTTTAAATATAAATCACTAATGACAGTCTACCCAATACTGTCAGATTTACAAAGCACATGGGTCAATCACTACGTCTATTAGCCAATGCCTACATTACTAAGTCACACACTGAGGCTTCAACATTCTCCAAAGGCAAATTTTTGGTCTATGAACTTTAAATTACAGAATTCAAAGATTACAGTGAACTCCTAGCAGCATCACAGATTACAGAAAATATACTGTCAAAGATATACTAGTACTCTATCAATACCACTGCATTTTTTTTCAAAATATATATATTTCATCACAAACATTGAGTTTATCACAAAGAATTGCAAACTTTAAAATGCACAGAAAGATTTGGGTAGTGAAATTTGAAAAGCATGCATCCAAATCATGTGGGTAGTGTATATAAGTATGTAGTGAAATCCTGCCATTGTCTCAGTATAAAATGTGTTTGTGGAAGTAGGTATATGAAGTATGGGCAAACTCAGAGGCCAAGACAAGGCAAGCTAACAGCACACTAGTACTATTCCTAATATGGCTCAGGTTATCAATCTTTTTATTCTTAGACCCTGTCACATATGTTTTACAATGGCAAATTGAAGATATTTTTGTGACAGTCATTTAAGAGATATACAAAATTCAGCTGTCTTGTGACAGAAATGTTATTCTGGTTGATAGTCATAGTCTCTATGAAAATCATGCAGCAAAAAATTGTAAACAAACGTGTACGGTAACTGCAGTATACTTTACTCACTCACTATCAAGTTTGACATACAGGTTTAACCTGCAACCCCCAATCCTAGAGGTGCAAGGTAAATTAACAACGACCACAACAGATTAGCCAGTTTAAGTGATATAAATGAGTCATGAGGGAAGCCTGTTACTGGAAGTCCAGCTCATGGTTTCCCATGTCATACAGATCCTTGTACTTGTCAAAGAGAACAGTCAGCTCGTGCATGTACTTCTTCTGTAGGGCCTCAACCTCCTCTTCGGTAGGGTTCTCGTTCTTCTCAACAGGGATCGGTGTGCCAACTAGAAACAAAAGGAACAGCACAGTCAGAGATGGCAGACTTCATGCCCTGTGAGCTAGCTAGTCTGCTTTGCAAACTTCCCACCCAACAGACAAGGCCCTGCGGCATTGCCAAAAGCATAGCAGCACTGAGGCTGTATAGCACTGCGTAACATTGTATATATATTGTGAATTGTTGAAACACACACAGATAGACACACAGAACAGTTCATGAAACAATGAATAGCAATGCAGTACTCTGAAGGTACTCTCCAAGCAGAGGTTTGGGTTTTGGCTTATTTTTGGGGTGTTTTTAGGCTTTTTTATCGGGCTTTGCACTGTTGTCCTTTTTCTCTTTTTTTTGGCATAAAAAAAGATACTAGTGTAAAAACCTAAAAACACCCCCAAAAATGAGCCAAAACTCAAACCTCTCTGGAGAGTACTCTGGGGGAGTATTGTACAATGTATTATACAGAATATCTTAGACTTTAAGTGTTGAATACGTACCAATGGTATGGATGGGTTTCCGGTATGGCACAATGCCAAAGGTGTACTGGAACACACCCCGCCCATGGAACAGTGGGGTGGCAAACCCTGTGAACTTCTGCAGTTTGGTCTGGAACTTTCTGAGGAATGACCCGGGTGGGTTGTTCAGCTGGGTGTACACCTCATTCTCACCGAAGGAGTACACTGGAACCAAATCAGCACTGTGGAGGAAAACATCATTCTGTTTACATTTAATTACAAAACTTAAAGTTTTGGTTTTTCCTTTAATGCCCAACAATCATGATAATGAACATTCTGGTATGCTCATTTCCACCAGAGTGAAGTGAGGAATTAGTTGTGTGAAGTGCCTTTCCAAGGTCTGTAACTTGGCACAAGGTCTGTAACTTGGCAGGATTCGAACCCGTGACCCCTTGGTTCCAAGCCAAACATTGCTCTGCCCTACCTTACACAACCCCACTTCAGAATCCCACATAGAAGCCTACACTAGTAGTCATGTAAAATTTCTATGTGACTAGATTCAGTCTGTGACCTACATAAACACAGCGACAGCAACAGATCTAAAAGAGACTGTACTAAACTCACCCATGTTTCATAGCCATCCTGATAAAGCCTTTACGTCTCTTGATAGTCAAGGTACACTTCCCAGGCATGGCATCCAGAGCTTCTTTGGCACCACCTTGTTAGGAAAGTTGTTAGTAAGTTAAAAAAAAGTTCTAACACTGTAAAGAAGATTTCTTCATTTCCAAAGTTTGTCAATGGCTGAGGATATAAAAAAAGCTAATAGTATATTTCTTAGCACTACAAAGTTTTAAAGTTTGTGTTAGCTATAGGCTGATGGAGAGCATTTCTGAACAAATGTTTGCAGTATAGTAATTTTACAGTCAAGAGGTCACTGCAAAAGCAGCAAACATTGAACCCCCACAGATATGTCAAGACTTACAGCTTACATGTAAATGTACATGTGTACCTACCAACAACAATGATAGCAGCATTGCCAGTTCCTTGTCTGGTCAGAATCCATTCCACTGACTCACGGCTCACAGCACAACATCCTACAAAGAAAAATGATGTCCAAATGTTAGATACACCATCAGTCATAAATATATACTGGTACAATAGAATGTTGCATGTCATATCCTTTGCACATATTTTAAAAACTAAGATGTATATTGAATATTCAAAATATACAGGTGTCTACTGTAAAATGCATGTATGTTGTTTAAACCTTTTTGTGTTGATGTATATGACATACCAGTTAGTCCCACCTGTGATGCAAACTGTTTGGTGGTCTTAAAAACTGTGAATTTATCTAACGTTATAAATCCTAGTTTTATAAACCAGGTCCAGTTCTTACCGCTGGTCATAACGTAATCTCTGTGCCACGGCATCCAGAAGATTCCTGTCAGGATCAGCAGGTGTGGACGGATTCCCGGGAACTTCTGGGAGAAGTTGGTCCCTTCTGTGCTGAAGTTCACGAAAGCTCCCGCACTCATCACTCCGTGCGGGTGGAAGCCGAAGACGTAGTTCTTCTCCGGGTCCAGGTCAGCGCTCTTGACCAGTTCGATGGGGAAGTATTCGGCCATGTACCTCCACACGGTCCAGTTACGGACAAACTGCCAGCGCCGCCCTCCGCGGTGGGGCGTGTCCAGGTCGTAGAAGATCCACCAGCTGATGTACAGGACGGAGAACCACCACCATCGCGTGAAGAGCAGGACAACAGCCAGGATGCAGCAGGAGTGCCCCAGCAGGAGGAAGCACAGGCACCACTGCAGTACCGCGGCAGTCTGCAGGCGGCGCTTCATAGGAATGTTCAACGGGGCAAACTCGATGCCAAACATCTTGGAATCTGCCCTTTGAACACTAGTACAGGTGCATACAAGATGAAAATTGAGATTTTCAGAAAACTTGTGTCAAAGCCCACAATTTTAAAACTACATATATAATTTAGACAACTACTTCTAGATATTGTTTTTTTTTCTGTTTAAGCAGCAAATACAAATCACACGTTACTTAAGATATACATCTAGTCACTGTCTCTGAGACATTATCCATGAATGCACAGTCACGTATTCCTCATACCGGAAACACTAACTATGGAGACACGTGGCGCGTGGTCCTTGTCACGTCAGACACACATGCAAGTTGTGATTCTATAGTATTACACAAAATTTTCGTGGAGTGAAATACAAAATGATATATCACAGATGATCTCTAATGCATATATATACATAATTGTTGAGTTGGCATGCACAACTCTATTATATTTGAGAAGAAAACAGTGAAAGCACCGGTCATACTGACCCTATTTGAATAACGATATCTAAGAAAACTCACCTTTCTGTCTTCGAGAAATCTGCTTACAAAACAGCTCTGCACTGCATGCTCTTACGATCTTTGCCCCCTTAAGGTGATTTATTTTTTCCCCTTAAGGTAATTATTCACAAAAATCATGTGTGTTATCAGAAATTCAGATCAGCATCTTCAGGTGTTTGACATGCAACTTGCATAATACACCGTCCGTAAAACATTAGCTGTTCAACCTAACTGACCCTTTATCTCACAGAATTGTGTAGGAGAAGTTAAAGTTTACTTACGCCGCAGAAGAAAAGTGCTGAGGAAGCTTGTTTCTGACCTTACTCCACAGCGACCTTAGTACGCACCAACAAAAACAACACGGCACGGATTTCACCTTTCACCTCTTCAGACGGTTTCATTCAGAACGATGGGGACATACTTGTAGGCATTACGTTGAATCGTGAATATCAAACCAGATGGTATGCCACTTTATTATGTTAAACTAAATATAATTTACGCTTATTTTCTACTTTTGATTGATTCGTAACCGACATGGTATGCGTCTTGCCATACTTGAAAAGGTAAAGAATGGTATGGTCCATTTGAGTAATGTGCACTTCACAACATTTCCGCTAGAGAACTGGACAGGAAAGAATTCGACACCAAAACGCCGTATTTTAACGCCATAAAGAACAACGAAATAAGCTTCGTATCAGCTTTGTACTGTTTTCTGTGGATTCGCCGAAGAATTATGACCATAATCAAGATCAATTGAATTTGGGGATACCTATGCAACTACTAGGACTACATACCGAACCCATCACATAACGAAATCCCATATGGTCTAGTGGTTAGGATTTGGCGCTCTCACCGCCAAGGCCCGGGTTCGATTCCCGGTGTGGGAAAACGTTCTTTTGAAATTTTGTTTTTTACTCCTTTACTTGTCTTCGAGCATCTGGTTCTTGTCTTATGCATTCAAAGCCACGTGTCACTGGGCCTTTAATATTTTCTTCTTTTAACATTATATAGAACCTTCATTTAAAAAATCGGGTAGTATGATACAGAAGGAATAATGTGTATCTCTTTTCAAGCTATTTTAACATGTAATCACTTGTGCAATTCAGCCAAGCAATGAATATTGGCTGCCAATCAATGTGAATAAAAAAACAGTTTCAGTTTTAGTTTTTCGAAAAGTTTCGAAATGTTTGTAATTGGCTAAATGATCTGTGAAATCACTAATCCCCCCTAGCCGACTGGAGCCCAAAAATAGAAAGGACAGGGGGCATCCCGTGGCGAATCTGGCTGCCCGACCCACAGCGACCAGCGATCAACTCCAGTGCGCGGAACGGAACTTGCTCTCGAAAATGTATCAAGCCGCTACGCTTCCCCCCGCGGCTGCCATCCCTCCCCACTTATCCCACACTAGTTCAAATCACGTAAAAAAAACCCATCAAAACATGCACAGAAGCGTGTTCATATCTTTCATGTTACGGTTAAAACTTAGAACCTCATTTTGAGCGAACGTTACAAACACGAGACAAAATAATATTTTCGAAAACAAATCGCAATCTAATCAGCAAGGTTTCATTGATTCCTGTTAGATTTAACCGGTACCAAACCGCGGCAGGCAGCTAAGAACAGCGACATATTTGCCACGGTTAGCACAAGTGGCGGTGATATATTCAGGTCGTGCCGCCATGTGTTTGTTTAGATATCAGTGTGAATAGCAGCCCTGTTTCAGACACGGCCGGCCTGCCGGCGTTTCCGGCACGGGCACGATAATGAGACGTTGATTGACGGCACATGTGGTTCACATCTGAACAGTTTCAAAGAAAGAATTTATCGACAATGCTGACACCCCTCTGTGTGAAAGGTCAGATCAGTGGTCGCGACCTCAATCGTCCTTATACATGCAAAGGTCAAAAGCTGAGGTCCACTTTCACACTGAAAGGGGTGTCCATCGGCGGTCTAAACGCATCATTTTGACGCACTAAAACACACATACTAAAAAACCAAAACAACGTGCACCATCTACAGCCCAACAGCAAAACGTATACCAACTCCCAGACATATCCGTCCACCCAAACGCGAGAAACGGGTGCGAACGCAATTTTCGTCTTCCCTCACAAAACCTCCGCGCTCGGGATGTACATCCCTACCCGGAGGTAACTATTAAATGCGCTAAAGTAAGATACTATTAATTTCTATTACATACTTACATCTAGTAGAGTACCAAATAAAGAAGAAAAACATTTAAAACACTAGAGCCAACAGTGTATCATATAATATATTTTGTACTCAATTACAGAATTTCAAAACATAAATTACATCAACTCTAAACAGTAACTTGAACATTCAACCCGAGCAATATATATAATGGTAGTATTCTAAATGTTACATTGGTTATTTAGATATCTACGTTGATACAGATGTGACGTGTTCACCTGTTTACACGTAATGAAGGAGAAATACTCGGCAGAAAACTATGAGTTGCGCAAACCAGACTTAAACAAAGATGGTAGTTCACACGATTTTACACGTATTTTCATCCCCGAGTCAGCGCTTCTCTGCAACTGTGTATGGGCTATTTTACACCTGCTCACACTGCCTTGTTGTCTCACAGCACGGTGCATAGTTTGGACTGAATACTGCGTCTGATGCGCCCGTGGAGGGGTGTCTGCTGATGTCCCAATTTATCACCTAACAAAGAAGTAACAACATTTTTATTACAATTTTTTTTTTTCGAATTAAGCTTCAATATTGATGCATTCAATGTAGATCTGATTTTTTTTCATTTGATCAGACTTATGAGGCGTTGCGTTAAAAACGTACATTTTATATACTCAGTATCCTTATAGATGATGTAATGTTCATCATACCCGTATGTATATGTATGTATGCATTTAGCCCCATGGGCATGAACATGTGACAAAGATTCATTATCATATAACGAAAGATCGCGTTGGCGAAGGCAAATGTCCCGTGTTACTTACCGTTGCTTATAACAGAACTGGTGAAGTTCTGATTGGACGAGTAGTCGTTATCATCAGCATAGTGCATTCTGAGAAGATGTCCCTCCTCCACCTGGGCTACATCTGCAGAGAGAAAAGTTGTAAGAAACCTTACATATTGTCGTGACTTAAAATGAGAGACATCACATTAGTCATGCTTTTTGCATGCTGAAACAGAGATACACATGTGATTCTGCACATATCCTACTCTCACTTCCTCCCAGCCTATGGGGATACCGGTTTGACTTCCAATTCGACCTCGCTTCACCCCAGCCTGTGCATGTTGGGTGACCAATTCGACCTTCCTGCCAGTCTGTGGTTACGTTATTTTCCCCTCACGCAATGTAAATCTACTCTACGCGGAAACACAAGCAAAGAAAGAAACTAGACAGGTACACCGAAAACAAAACAAAACATCCATAACATTAACACAGTGATAAAGATTATGAGCCTCAGGTTTCCGATGAACTAACCGGTAGTGGAGTCAGTAGGCAGGCCCAATAGTTGGTGGTCGGTGGCGGAACTGGACTCCACGAAGTAGGTGTTCATCAGTCCTTTTCCCTTGATCTCGGTAGGACCTCGCGACGCGCAGACAAATCCACGTCCTTTTATCAATCTGTTAGATGGGAGATGCGGACAACATTGAGTTACGATCAAGTATTCGTGACTTCCTACAGCAGCTAGTCATATAAAGATTTTACTTGATCATAGCCTGCTTATGGTTGCCGTGTCAGAATGTTTATATTTCGCCTGTATAGTAATAAATATATCTATATAGTAGGTAGGGTACATGTCTGAATTCTATACCGGTTCTTAAGTACAGAAAGATGTGATAATATCTATATGGATCCGGAGCCAGTTGAATGCAGAGTGGTACTGTTTGTTTGTTTGTTTGTTTGTTTGTTTGTTTGTTTGTTTGTTTGTTTGTTTGAACCATTCTTCAGCCATGAAAGCTCAAATCGGCATTCAAGTCGCTTTTTATTGAGGGAAGAGGTAAAAGGTAAGGGTCAGACAAATATATCAACAAGATAAAGTTTATATCATACTGTGACCAAGGCCTTGTAGACATATGTCTAAGACTCATCGTTGATGGACGTGGGAACTTGGCACATATACAGCTATTACTTTTTTTTATAAACAAATAACTGAACCGAGTTTATAAACACTGACTTGTAAGTTTTCATGCTGATGTGCACTTTGCCGGGGATTCCGTGACTCTCCATCCGTGACGCTGTGTTGACGGTGTCGCCGAACAGACAGTACCTCGGCATTTTCTCCCCCACCACGCCTGCCACGGTCGGGCCAGAGTGGATTCCTACACGGATCTGAATTAAAGAAAATCGGCACGCTGTTAGATATTACTTTATACGCTATCTATCTTCACTGACGCGATTAAGTAATGTTTAATCTGTGTTAAATACTGAGAATTCAGCTGCAGGCTAATTTTTAAGGTGCATTTCCTTTGTGTTGTTATAAAGTCGCATATTCCCTTCACAAGTTTGTTCATGATTTTGTACATTTTAATATTCCAACATTTATTACAAGACATGGCGACGGTACACTCATTTTTTTTCAACTAACGCAGAAGGCATCTTGTGAAAAAAGGCATCTTGTACATTTCAAGACTATTCAGAAATGAAAATGTTACACCTGGAGGATTTTCCCAGTTGCAGGTGATTTTACGTTGGCGGCCGCTAGGTGCATAGCTAAGCCCATGTTGACGACTCTCTCGGCATGAGTGCGGATGGGGATGGGGAGACCTCCTGTCACCATGTAGGCATCACCAATGGTCTCAACCTAAAAGGTACATTACACATATGTTTATCTAATGCGTAAGAAATGTTAGCCTGGTATCCTAACCATCTATAGCTTTGCCTCTTACGTCCTCTCCTCTTTTCTTGGTGTTGAATGTTTAGTCTGTAGATTACCATGATAAATGAATCTGTTCTTGGTGCTGAATGTGTAGTCTGTACGGTAGAACTCTGAAAAGAATGGCTCTGCCCTTGGTGCTGAATGCGTAGTCTGTCGAACACTACAGAGAATAGCTCTGTTTTTGGTGCTGAATGTACAGCCTGCAGAACAGTACAAAGAATGGTTCTGTCCTCGGTGCTGAATGTACAGTCGGCAGAATAGTGCAAAGAATGGTTCTGTCCTTGGTGCTGAATGCATAGTCTGTAGAACTCTACAAAGAATGGCTCTGTCCTTGGTGCTGAATGCATAGTCTGTAGAACACTGCAAACAATGGCTCTGTCCTTGGTGCTGAATGTGTAGTCTGTAGAATACAAAAGAATGTTTTTCCCTTTATGCTGAATTATAATACCGTACGATAGTAATTCATGCAACACCTGCCCCATTCTTCCATTGAAATAGGAAAGTCACTAACCTTGTACACATCATGCACAGTTGTGAGCCTGTCGAACCGGAGGTACATGTCGTTCAGCATAGTGACGACCTGGGTGGGCTTACATTCGCTACAGATGTTGGTGAAGGTGACCACATCGCTGAACAGGATGGTCACCTCGTCATAAGAGGCTGTACACATCAAGAAGGAAATCTTTAAGGCAACAGCATTTATAGGTAATATTCATTTGTAACATAAATCTGTCAATAGGAACTTCGAACGACGGCCCATCTACTTTAGATTCTCGGCATTCATTGCGGTAAACAAACTGTGACGTAAAATCGTGATAGTTCCATTGCCAAGTTGGCTAAATGCACTACTTTTCGGGTGGGCAACGCTAGACATGACAGCCCGGCTAGCTCAGTCGGTAGAGCATGGGACTCTTAATCCCAGGGTCGTGGGTTCGAGCCCCACGTTGGGCGAATAACTTTTTTGAGCTACTTATTTTATCCACGTGACACATGTTGATGATTTTGAGCCGTTTTGATAAAAACTTCTAAAAAAAACGTTACAGTCAGCTGCGTGGCGCAGCGGAAGCGTGCTGGGCCCATAACCCAGAGGTCGGTGGATCTGTAATACATATACCCGTACATGAACTTCCAGGTTTAACCATCCAACTTGCATGGCGGAACTTACTAACGTCAAAGTCACGTGAGTGCAAGCGTCACATTTTAAAACAGGCTCGTAAATAACTTGTATTGGTTATCCTAACCTTGAATTTATATTTTTATGTTTCACGATCTTATGATCCTTATAAGCATATTACGCGCTTTCTGTCTAATGCTCATAAATCTATGTGAATGAAGAAAAACAGGCTAGAGTAAAAAATATAGTGCACCATATTATCAGTGTGAAATGGTCAACAGTTTTACGTACCTGCTTCTACTTTCTTCCCGTCCCTCAGTTGCTCGGCTACAGGCCTGGGCAGCATGGTCTCTAGAAGTTTCTCTGTCTTCTTCTGCATGGCCTTCAGAGCTTCCGACATGCCCCGGAGTTCCTCCTTCTTCATCTCAAGCTGCTTAGACATATCGGCCTCGACCTTACGCTGACCGAGACATACAATATTTACCCAGATGGTTAGGCACCGTTATATGCTAGAATACATCTGTCATATAGCCTAACTTTGAGCTGGTTAAAGCTTCTATTAGCTTGCAGCTTCTAAGTATATTTGAAGAATCAACAGCGGAACACTGGACAGAATTCGAAAACAAAACATGTCTTTGGCGGTGTACATTCGGGCCAACCGTCCAACACTGAACAGAGACGGGGGCGACACAGGCTATTTGATACGTCTGCTGCAATCAAGTGTTTCCGACGTCACGTCCCGGAAGTTGTAGTAGACGGGTCTATTCCGTGAACAAGGCTGACGGAGTTAGCCGAAAATTTGGGTAAGTCCCAACTGACTTAGTGTTAGACATAACGTTTAGCCTTTTCGTCATAAGACATGTCTTTCTTTTTCACTCCATGCATATATGCATTAGAGCAGTATTCTAAATAACCCCATACCTGTTGATTGAGCAGTACGAAGTCCCTCAGCACGTCGTGCAGTGCTATGTCTGATAAGTGCATGTTCATCTCCTCAAGTTCACCCAGACTTGTCACTTTGGGAGAACACATGAACATCATGCAGTCGTACTGGGGCAACCATATCATTTGACCTGCGACAAAGACAAGTAGGATAAGCTTAAGGTGTAACTTTTCTATCGAGGGGCATTAAAACAATATGAGTGTTCACTAGGCAATAGATTTTCACTTAGTTTGCAATATTCTGTGAACGTTTTGGACTAGCACTGGGAATAAGGGAAGATGAGATGACACACACTTTGGAATGAATCTTGTTGATCTTATTATGGCTTACAACTGATAAAGGCTAATGTAAATCTATATCATGATATTTGTTCGTTTATTAGTATTTGTTTATTTGTTTATTTCTCTGCTTGCTTCCTTGTGTCGAGAAGAAAATACAATAGAGCGTTTTTAAACACAGGAGTTCCGTAGACGTACGTACCTTTTAGGGTGAGAGTTGGCCTCCCACCCCACGAAGAGGGCATTTTCTCCCGCTTGGTCTCTATTATGAACTGACTGTTGATAGAGGCGCGGATATGCTCGATGTAAAACTGTATTTCCGGATGAAGAATGTGAAAAAAGGAGTCCATCCGCGCACCAAGGAACCTCACAGCTGGCAGGTACTTTTGCAGGATCCTTCCTACCTGCTTGATATGCAACTGGAATGAAAAAATGACAATATACACACCAGTTATGAAAAACTTAAACTTTTCTCCAACTCGAAATTTGACTCACCAGAAATTTTCGACCGAATCACTCAGTCTTCCTCAGCTATCTGACCCAAACACATACACACCAGTTGTCAGTGCAGAAATTGGAGGTTTCAGACCTCTAGCTCTCCAAAGCGTTTTGGGTTTTTGTGAATGTACTGGAACTTTGGAGAGAATCGTATAATCTTACCCTCCATGCAAGCGTCGCCACCCGGGACAGGAAACATACGCACTTCACAGTGAGCCACCCAAAACTATACTTCCGTACCCGGAAGTAATAAAAACATACAATTCAACCACAAGGATACGATGTATTCATGCATGTTCAATGCACATAGGCGCACAAGTATTAAGAGAACCTAATTTTAAGGGTAAACGTAAAATCACCTCTTCGTCGAAGACGACATGGAACGGTAAGATCTCGCAGAAAGTCTTGCTGTCCATTAGGAGCTGCTCGGGGTAGACAGCGTCAAACGTGTCGGTGGCGTGTCCTTCCACAACCGCCTCCCTGATGGCTGACCACCTGTTTAGAGCGAGCAGTTGAGCATTTTCTGTGCCGCTCTGAAACAAAAAGGTACGTGTGAGACTACATCACTGATGTTCTGTATCTGTATAGCCGGTATAACCGCCCTTCGGAGTAATACACCAGCTTCGCAGGCACGCGGCGCGGCGGCAGCTAACTGTATTACACCGAACGACTTCTTGCACCCAATCTTCACATTTAATTACAGGACACTTTTAGAAAGTTTAAGCTGTCTAGTGATGATGCCCAAACTGTGCTTGGTGGCAACGAGTTCCGCTCTACGTTAGCTCTTGGAAAATACGACAATACTCCGATAGTCTAAAGTGTATTTACCGTCTCATTGGTATATGTCCGTTTCATTTTCCTCCCTGGTCCTTTGATTCTCTTACACGTTGTTTCTTTGATGGACAGGACGATGTGCTCCCGTTTTGACGACCTTTCCTCTTCATATCTGTGCGTCACGATCTTCATGTCTATCTCTGTGTTGAAGAACTTCCTTGCGCAACCCCGGACTTGTCCTGAAAGATCACAACCATTATAAAGACAAGTACAGCTGTAAGTAACTTGTTAGAGTTAGCATGAAAGTTAATCTGAGTTGGCGAATTACACAATGAGAAATAAATTGTCTCCAACTCAAGGAATTTTACTTACCTGAATTTTCGACTGAATCACTCAGCCGAGACGGGAGTGGTACTTTATATATGCCCCCCTTTACCCCCCTAATGTTTATATTCTAAACAACATCGATAAAACTATTCTAACTCAACCAACGAATTGGCTACAGGAAACTGTGGTGCTACAGGTAAGTGTCTATATTTACATAGGCTACATGTAGTTTGAGTATAACTGGGAAAATTTCGTGACATTTGGTACATACGCTACTACAATAGTACTAAATTGAGTGGCGTTAATGAATTTAGTGCAATAACAAAGCGAAACGACTAAGGATCTACCGATGGACGAATTTCGTTTCGCGTACGGTCTGTCCCTGGAGGTACTTATCTTTACATGTACATTACCTATGATCATGTCAGCGAACCCTTTCCTATCGCTGTGGTAATGCTCCCCACCTATAACCATGTCGGCGTATCCCTTCCTGTCGGTGTAGTAGTGCAGCAGGATCTCCCCGTCCTTCAGCCGCTCCACCTGGAAGGACGGCGCGTTCATCTCCGTGTAGGTAATGGTGAGGTAGCCGTAGTGCATGTAGTCCAGGTTGTCCAGCATGTCCAGCAGGTTGCCTCCCAGAGCCCGCAGGATGGCGTCGTAGCCTGCCTCCATGCAGAAATCTATGAAGTACTCTCCGTACTGCTGAAAGACTGTGCTGTCGTCCAGACCTGGAACAAATGGAGAAGATTTTGCTGCGCTTTTGTTGCGCTATATCTAAAGTATTGTTTTCGGTGGCTGCTGAACTGCGAGTTTTTGTATCTGTCTGTCCAGGCACAATACCTGAGGTCGAAAACACATATGGACGGAGAAAAGATTTACAGGCAGAATTCCAGGACGACAGAGGAAATGGGGTTATTTCGGGTAAACGTGAAAGTCTCTGAACCTGACTGAGAGTCAGCGGGGATATCGTTGGGATTTCTTGAAAGAAACGCACGCACGAAACACAATATACGGTAGTCTTTATATAAGTCGGAATAGTAATCAATTGTCGGTGCAGTTGTACACATGTAACGTTACATGATTGTGTACGTGCTCGGGGTTGAATGATGAGGTACTGAGACCACGTACCTAGTATCCGAGATGCCGCCATGGCCATTTTCTCCATGATGGCGTCATCGTAAGGCGTGTTCATAAAGTAGGAATCTTCTACCCCAGCCAGCTGTCTGAAGTTAAAGTAATTGATAATTGTTTAATAGTTTCATTAGGTTCGTGACTCAAGGTACAATAATAGAGTTCTTTGAAACATAAATGACACGTAAATATTATGTGCTTGTTTAGTAATAGTGAAGAATAACCGTTAAGTTTTCCATGCAAAACGTGTTTAGAAAACACTGTCATGACATACGTCGTAGGAGGTACCTCGTTAGAGATGTACAATGTATCTCAGCTGAATTACAACAAATCAGTAGAAATGGTGGATATGCTCACCTGATCTTTTCCCATGTCTCCTCCCCGTAAGTAGCCACCAAGTAGCCACGGAAAGCAAGGTTGATAACGCCGTACTGAAATGCGTATATTTACAATGAGTGAGTTACGTGATAGAAGTATTTTGCTGATAATTGATGTATTGAGACAGCACATCACTTTGTAAGGTCTGTATACCCGATGTAACAATTCTTGAATTGATGCTCATCAATATTGACCGAATCATTATAAGTTATTTGAGTCACACCTAGTACTCTATTCTTCCGATATAGAGCTATCATGTGGTCTGGCTCTATCATCATATTTATTACGCAATGACGGCCCTGGTATCTTAAGCTTCTTCAGGAGACACGCTAGCTTGTTTTGATGACGAAAGGCGGTTCAAAGCTTATTGCATAAAAGAGAAGAGCTTACCATATATATAATTTTCTGTGCAGAAGTCACAGCAGTGGCAGTAGACGACTAAGTGAGCATAAACTATAGTGAAGATATACAGAGAATTACAGGTGAGTAATATGGTAAACGTACTAGACGGGGGACGATATAGACTTTTAAAAACCTTTGGCCTATTGATGACGTCACACGTACATAAAGTCACGTGATCTGAACGATTGTAGAATCGAAATTTGAATTTGAGTATAAGAACAGTTAATTTGCTTTACAACTATCGTTGAAATATATAATAAGGCAATGTATGATATTCAATAACTCACGGATGAAATCATGATATCAGTCAACGAACATTGCTATAGTTGCTATATTTTCAAGCAGCGTATGTTTCAATGTCAAACTCTGCCGAACCCGGGCGTTTACAAGGTCAATGCATCTTACAAAAGCTGCGTCACACCACAAACAAGCTTTCAGTCACTTCACGACACACTGTAATCTCTGTTATTACCTTAAAAGCTTTCCAATGTGCCAAATTGTATTTGACTTTTCTGAGAGAATTAGCAACGCAGAGTGTTTTACAACATCATTATCGTGCTATATTTGCTGCAGTGGCTTTGCAAAGCGACCAGGAGGTACGACTAAAGACCCTACGTAGGGTGAAGCTGGTAGCATATTTTATTATGATTGCATTACCGGATTATCTAGGCGCACTTGGAGTGCTTTATAACAATTCGTGACTGTGAAGTGCTTTTCATGAGGGGAGCTGAGGGCATCCGATAAAACAGGGATGGTGTTGACTTGACACACAGACTTTGTCCTTCACCTAATGCTTCCATAATGATCGCAATAGATTTCGATTGACAGTTTTTTCAGCATACAATTAGTACTTCAGTACTATCGTGATTGTTTCATTTAAAAAACATAGACTCCCCAAAATGCCTTTGGTTAGGTTATCCATTGCCCTGTACATAGATTGATATTCAAGTTTCCTCCACCAATTTAAAGCTGTATACTTGCGAAGGGAATCATAAACCGCTAGTAATGAATAATGATATGATACTTTGGAGACCAAAAACCAACTTGACTCCGCAGTATTATACAGTGCTCTACAAATCACTTGCGAAGTGCCAACATTTGTGATTTGTCGCAATCCTGTTTCATACTTGATATTTTGACAGCTTGTATCAAAAATGGAAAGTGCCTCAATGTGAATATCATACGTATAAAATATAAAGCTAATGCGTACGTAGCATTACAAAATTAAGGATTTATAATAACCAACGTCCTGCTGAAAGAAATTTCGACTACCAATGATATCAGACAATAGGTAATACCACGTCAGCTACGCAACTACACTCACCCTTGTTTCTGGTGCAGAAAACTGGCGACTGTTGAAGAGCAGACTGGTTTCAAATATTTTCTCACCACTCAGACTTGTTTGGGTTGGTCCTCCTTGAACGCTGCAGTGTTGGATCGATGGCCAGTAACTGCAAACAGAGCCTTCCGGCGAGTGAACCTACACATTCCCCGGACCCCAGATGTTCAAGTGGAACTAGAGTTGTTTTCCTGGTCTGTAACAGCCTCCCCTGGGGTGGACTCGCGGGTATTTACACGGCACGCAGTTACGGTTCTGACACGGTAGCATCAGGTGCTTTCCTCGCTGAAAAACCTCGTGGAACGGTAATCCTCGCGTGATGTCCTCACTCCTTGAGTGGATGAAGCTGAAGCAAGATTTTGGAGAGACTCCCCAAAGATTCAGGTGAGGCGTCAGAAATTAAGAACACCTTGAACACCACTTAGTGCACAGTTAGCTGCAATTTGGCATTCTCAGGAAG